TACAAGGATAAGGCATATTCAAGTCACTCGGCCCGACTTCATAATTGGCCGATATTTGCCTTTTCGCATTAATCTACAGAAGAGCGTGGAGCTGAGGGAATTTTTAATTTTTTAAATAGTTATAAAATTTTTACATCTTAAATTATGTATATTGGACGAAATCAGCTAAAAATGAGTTGTTATCATCAAATTAAATAAAATATGAACATATAATTACTCCCATTCACTCCCTCGGAATCTCCATAGGCCGAAGGGGATCATCGGTTCAACCAATGGTCTTCTCCCTATGTTATTCAAATCATGGGGACAATTTTTCGATCTTTATTATATTTGTATAGTTATCATATTTTTTCCCAATTTATAGCGTGTCAATTACTGTAAAGATGGTAGTCACCGGATTTTGTTGATTATCACTAATGGAGCGATTTGTGATCGAATACTTATAGCTATTACATCGGTGCTTTTCTACTTTATGTCTTTTTCATTTTCTCCATATTATTCCGATTAAGCTTGCAATTTACTATTTATACGGATTGCTATTAAATCCGCGTTTATTTTTCTTTTTAAAACCCTTTATTTTCCTATACTATTCACATATTTCCTTTTAGGCTTCATTTTTGCCATTGTCAATTATAATTATTGGAATTGGAGGTGATGATTTTGAGAATATTCGCGGATTGGATTCTGCTGTTACTTTACTCAGGTACCACAGGCGAATAGTTCAACGAGATATCATACAGGTTATTTTTCGAAAAACCAGTGTCTGCTAAAACAAAGTCCTATATGAAAATGAATTGTACAAACCGTGTCAATCAAAACACAAATCAGGTCTTTCTCAAATATTTGTAAATAATTCTTTTTTCAATAATATTGTTTATTTTTCTTGCTGAAAAATGGATTTTTCTGCTTCTAAGAAGTTGCCGCTGATTTCACTGTCGTAAGGATAAACTTATAGTTGAAAAATCGGCGGAATGCTATTAGCCCACCTGATAATATTTTAGCATGAGAAATGGTGAATGATAATAACATTTCTGATTATTTTTTGCAACTTATAAAGCTATATTTCATGGGAAATTTTCCTAATCATGCTTTCCTTTTCAAATGCACCATATTTTTTCTATTCATTTGTAGTCACCATTTATAGTCACGGATCAGACGTAAGATTTTCCAGTTTCAAAAACTTCGCAAAATGTTTGTGGAAGTGCAGATGTTTTTCCCTATGGTTTCAGACCGCTACCATCAAATCTTCGTAAAATTCGCGTTCCTCCATTACTGCGGATATGATTTTTTTTCACTTCTGTGGTTATATTTCTTTTGTTCAATTTTGTTTTTGCATCTAACGTAATGAAAAACATATTTTATTATTTTCATATCGAGTCGAATAAATTTTTAATTGGAAAAAGAACCATTATTTATTACATACATTTATTTATTTTTACAAGAGAAATCACCATTATAACTAAAAAATCAGGTGAATAGATTGCGTTGCGCTAGTTCAATTGGCTTTTAATGCCTTTTAGGGTGGTAATCGAGCCTTTATCCACTATGCTCCATCAAGTGCTAAAATTAACATGACGCCATAGAGACAAATAGCTGAGTGGCCTACCTGGATCTTTTAAAAATTTTTGTTAGTGGAAAGAAATTTCCCCTTCAACATGGTGATTTCTCGTGATAAGAATGTACAAACATTTATAATAATGCGATTAAAATGGAAATTAAACTCAGTTTTAATCAAAAGAAATAAATTGAGAAATTTTTATTTAGAGAATTTCGTTTGGAATGCAGTAATACAGAATTCTCGTGACATATGGGATGCTTAGCATGAGGAAAATTGATTAAAATGGTTCATTGACTGACAATTATGATCATGATTGCCTTAGGCGATGATAATTATGATAGTGAGAGTGGTAACTTTAATCTCGACAAATTTAACTCAATTTAAAATTAGAAACAAAAAGAATTATACAACTTTATCGCTGGAATACACTTCAAATCTGCGGTGAAAACCAATAAAGTTTCTTTTAACGCTCAAGTGATAAAAAGCATATTATTAAATATTTGCCGCATTCTATCGTAATTTATTTAATTTATTTTATTTTAGTTATTTAAATAATTGCAAAACGGTTGAAATGAAAGCGAACTTGATTATTTAAATTAATTATTTTTCAATATTTTTTTCAATTATTTAATTTAATATCGATTAATTTTATTTTAAAATTTTATTATTTTTATGTTAAATAATTTATTATTTAAATTGAAAAATTATTGTACCATCAATATTTTTTGAATTTATAAGATAATGATATTAATCATTAATCGATAGTTAAAGAATTTTATATTATCCAAGTGTTAAAAGCTCTCTAAGTTCTCTAACAAAGCTTTTATCGCCAGTAAACCTGTGGGCGACCATGAATATCCTCAACCTCGAGTCCTCTGCCAAAGGTCTGCGTAACTTAGAGTTCTCCACAGTATCTTAGCTATTTGTAAGAGTGCCTCTCCTGGATAAACGTTTTCGATGTTTTTCCTGGATTCTGATGGAGTTACTTTTCTAGTTTGGAGATCATCGCAATTTTAAGTGCTCCAATTACTTTGGCCTTTAGTTTCCACATCTTCTCTTATTCCTCTTTATGCCCTTTATATTCCTCTAAGTTGACGCAGTTTCTGTAATCAGTTGGTTATTAGTAACTCGTCAGCTTAAGGCAAGATTCTATTTAATAGTTTTAACATTTATTATAATCTAATCTAATGACATATTTAAATATATTTCGATGTAAACCCATAAGGCCAGAAAAAAAAAAAAATTAACGAAATGGTTTTGGATTAGGTTCTTGGCAAATATTCAATTCATAGCAAATAAAGATTCTTACCCATATTGCATACGATGACATTCCCCTGTGCATAAAAAATGAAAAATAAAGATATGTTTTATGAATAAATACTACGATAGAAGTAAAAAAATTCCGTATATTCCATTCGAATGGTGCAATAAAATATCTATTATTAAAAATATTATCGAGATATATCAATGAAATTTCGCTCAAATAGACCGACAAAATAGCGACGATTCGAATATAAATCGACACATTAGCGACAATAAACATATGGCAGTTTTATAAAGTTTGATACTTTTTTTTCAATTTGAAATGAAATTTAAAAAAATCTCAAAAAGTTATAAAAGTGATAAAGAAAGGAAGACAGATTTTTGTTCCAGTAAATCATTCTATTTAATCAAAAATCAAAAATTGAACTTAATTCTCATCTATCCGACTTCGTTTCAATTATTCTCTATTTCTTTCATTTGTTTTCTTTGAAATGACATCCCCGAATGAGCTCAAGCATCATGGCACAATAACCTGGGATCAGCAATAACCTGGCTAGCAAATGATGCGTTCTCATCATTCTCTCTCTATTTACCGCAACTACACGTGAAATAACCATTATTCAATTTTTGCGATAATTTTAGCTCGCCAGTGCTAGGAATTTATTATTTTTCAAAAAACGAAGTAGGCAAATCAGCTAAGTGAGCGAATTTTTCTGCCTTCCTCGAAGGTATAATCACCTTTTGCTCAGTTTTCTAAAATAATTTAAAATTTCTGGAATTTTTTAAAATGTGAAACTGAAAAATTGTATAGATGGTTGCAGGCAAAATGCAAAAAGCTTTCAAAGAGATGTTATAATTTTTATTTTCTCTTAAATTGCGAAACTCTTAAATTGTTTTTTTAAGTTTCATTTCTATAAAATATTTCTGTAGAAAAAATCATTTTCAAGAATTTTCAAAAATTTCTTCAATAGTTTTCCTTAAATAATCAAAACTGCACAAAACCTTAATCTCCAAATTAATTTCTATTTTATTCAAATTATAATTATTTTTACTATAATTTTATAATTTATTATTTTAAAACATAAATTTTTTATTTTTCATTTATTTTTATAAGATTTATAATTTTCATCCATTTTTTAATCAAAGCTATATGAAATATAACTTTTCAGAATAGAACTCGATTTGAACTTCGCTATTCTCAGTTGTAAAATATTGCCAAGATGATTTCTGCAGATCCCTTTTGTGGCTTTTGGCTTTTAAGGAATTTAGATTATACTTATTATATTTGAAAGGAAATAAAAATTATTATAAATTTTCTTTTTGCATTCAATTTACGATGCATATGGTTGCCAGCATTTTTGGATTAACTGAATCCAAAAAAAATTTCTCCATAAAATAAAAATATTCAATTGGCTTCAGCCGGAATTAATTAAACCGAATTTTTTTGTTAAATTTTATGATATCAATGGTTATAAGTGCAATAGTTATAGGTCCAAGCGCACCGAAAAACTCTCCAAAGAGATGCTTGGATTATGGTGCAGAATTATGGAACGATAACTTTCTGCAACGATCCTCGAGAAAGTTTCTGCAATTAGTGCCCCCCTATTCCTACTAATAACAAAACATAAAATGAAATCTAAAGCATTTTACATTTTCCCAATTTTTTGTGATGCATTGTAGAATTACATAAGTGATTTTAAATATTTCACTATTCACTACTATTATCATTTTAATACTTTATATTCTACCATCTTGGTACCAAAAAAATGATTGAAATTGCAAAAATGTTTACCGCAGAATTAAACATACATTATTATAAAATGCTTCAACTGATTCGATCGGTCCAATTCATTGTTTGAATAGTTGCAAAGTGAAATGATTTTAACTATTCAAATTATAAAAATATTCTAATTTTTCAAATCGAACAATGTATTAAAGAAATAAATTGTTTATTCATTATTATTATTCAGCTCGGATTGTTTCCTTTACTATTTGTTTTTGCTTCCATTCTTCAGCGAATGAATACCAATAAATATTTTATGCATTTTAACCCACAATTTTGTAATTTGCCTGCCAAAGTAAATGGGAAAGTAAATGCGAAAATGCAACTATTAAATTTTCTAGCGAAAGATTTATTTTATAAAGCAAAAGAAAACACAAATGAAGGAAAAAAATGCATTTAAAATCGAATTCTAACTGAAAACAACGCATTGCAGTTTGGACAAAAATAAAGTACGTCTTTGCATGGACGTACAACAAACGGCACAACTGCTAGCGGAATAAAAAATAAACAACCAATAATAGCCAAAATCCATGTGAGCCGACCCGTAGTAAATTTTTGCCGAGTTCGCACTTTACACTGAAAAACAATTTGTTAATTTCAAAAAATTGGGCATGAAATACCTTCTAATCGAGACATGGCTCAAGCAAAACCACTAAGCAATCTTGTCAAACCTATCATAGTGTTTATAGGAATGGAACTTCAATAGGGAAGAGAAAAATTTAACTGCGGTCGGTAATTTTACTGATTATCTTTCAACTATAAGGTTATTATTTGAATAAAGAAAATTTGGAAGATTTATACGATACTCGCTGCTTTATAGTCTTACAAGAAGTATAAAGCAGTAATATCAGAAAAGTCGTTATCAGCGAAACTTGCAAAGAACCTACCTGGCATCCAGGGCAAAATTCATCATATGGCTTAGCCGTATATGCTTTTTTGATAGCGCCACGAAGTGGATTAACATCATTTTCAGCCATTTCTGAAATTTTCATTTAGGCTTTTAGTTTATGATCATTAATTCAATTTTTTAGCACCAATGTCCACAAAAAATAAATACTTTTAAAGTATTTAAAGTCGAATGAATGAAATATAAAACCAATTCATATCGCAAAAACGACAAATTTGTTTAATAAATTTTTTCATAAATAAATTCATTAAAAATTGTACGATTAACAAATTTGTTCATTAAAAATTGTAAATATAGGAGATATACAAGTAATTAGTTGCTTGAAAATCATCATTTCTGGCTTAATTAATCCGGTGGATTATTCATAATGTTAAAAAAATTCATCAAAAAATCATTGCGGGATAGAAATGCAAATGCAAAAAACCCCAAGTAGTACCAGGTAGCAGATTTTTATCAGCCGAATGATGGTAATTTAAGTTGTCCATCCATTTAGATAAATTTCCTCTACTAAATTCAAAATTTTGATTCAATTAAAAATTAAGAAGTAAGCTCGATTTATGATAAAAAATGGACATGAAAAAGTGGAAAAGTTGAAAAAAGAAAGAATCTAACAAGAGCTGAAGGCACAACCAACCAGCTTCACTTGTAATAACTGTAACAATGACTTATATGGAACACTTGCGGACCTTTTATTCTAGCGAGGTCATCGCATGCTTCGCATGGTTAGCTGAGGAGAATTTAATAGTTTAAGCTTTGCATTACTTGTATTTCAGAGGAACTATTTTTACGTTGGTTATTTCTTATAAGAAATATTATATTGTGTAAATGTGTTGTTCTATCATCACTGCAATTTAATTTGTTCTTAATTATTTGATTTCTTTCTCAAATCGTTTATTATAAAAATGGCAGATTAAATTCCAATTTAAATTGCTTTATTATTGTTTGAAAATAGTTTTAAAATTGTTTTATGAAGGAAGTTAAAAATAGAAATTAAAATTTAATAAATGAAATAAAAGAACAAAAAAATTATTTATTATTTAAATAAAACATTTATTAAACATTTAAATATCTATTAAACATTTGTTAAATATTCGCCAAATTTATTTATTATTTCATCCAATTTATAATAATTCTAATAATTAATAATTTTTACTTAAAAAACCTGGAAAATTTTTTTAAAAATCATTCTATTAATTTCGTTCTCATTTTCGTTGTGACCGCTATTCGTTTCTTATATTTTATATTTGAAAATTGGCCATTTATGGCCAAAATTTTGAACAATTTTATGTCATTGTGATGTTTTTCCATTTTCAACAAGAAATGTTCGTAATGCATTCGTTTATTCAAGAAAGCTAGAAAATTGAACCTTTTAAATAAATGTAAAGAAGTACCAACCAATAAAGAAGTAAAAGAATAATGAAAAGAATGAAGTTCCAAAAATTATCGTAGAAAAAACGTTTCTTTTTCTGCGAATCATTTTAATTTTATTAATTTGAACAATAAAGTTACCTTAAGGGAAATTGCTTTATAGTTTCGTTTTTCGGGTGAATATGCGAGCTTGTTTGGTGAGATTACAGGATGATTGGGTATTTGGTTAAACTTTTATTCGAAATGGTCGTTAATAATATTAATAATGATTTTTATTTTGTTGAAATACCTGAAATCACATCGATTAGCGTGTCTCTGTGCGCTTCTAGCCAATTCATTCGACCAATACAGCATTTGCATATCGCTAGCTGGTACCTAAAAATAAAACAAGTTTAAAGCAAAAGACCAGAAGATGATAGGATTTATTAGCTATTTAGGCTATACTGTAAAAATTTACCGCATTGTTTCTATAAAATTCGAGTGACCATATCTTTTTCATTACTGAATATTTCATAAATTTACCTGCTCATTAAGCAAACACTGTAAAAAGAATACCACATCGGGAAGGAATGTCGTATTGTGTTGTCTCATTAATAAGTAGCCGATCAGACTACGAATATCTCACAAATTTAGCGAAATGTACAGTTTGTCTCAGAAACAAACTAGAAAACTGGTTTGTTGATGACTAAGATCTATTTAAGTTGCTCATTGTCCACTATTGCAGCATGCCATTTTGAGGCTTCAAGTCTTTTGCTAGGAAAAGCCGAAGTCGACTTCATCCTTCGCCAACTTCCCTACTAATAGACAGTCGAGCAGGCTCAGCCATAAAAAAAGTATGAATCCTAGTTGCCACTTAAATTACAGTTGCCAATTTCCAGAAAATTCATTGCGCTAAATTTCTTTTAAATTTTTTTATAATAAAAATTAAATCTCACAATTCTTCGAATTCTTCGAATTCTTCGAAATTTCTTATGCTCCTTTGTAGTCCAATGTTTTATGTAACCATTAGGCGGTTCAGATTTTATTAAAAGATTTCGATAATTTTTATAATTTCTATAAAAAATTGGCAATCGTCTTTCATTTACCTGATTTCCTGAAAAAAAAAGAAAAAATAATTCAATCGCATTCCTTCTAAAATTCGATATAATTAAGAATAAAACTTTATTAAATAAATCTTATTTGAAACCTTATTTACCAAAGTTCGATAGTTGTTAAAAGGATTTGTCAAAGTTTCCAACTTTTTTAAAAAGATTTTGACAAGATTTATATGAGTTCCATGATTTTTTTAAAAATAATTTTATATTATATTTTTATAATTTTATAAAAATAGTTTAAATAATAAGTATTTTAATAATTTTAAGTTTTTTCGAAATTGCAAAGTTATTTAAAGAACTATTTAAATTAAAATTCAATGTGAAATTCCTTCAAAATTCCCTCGTTCCACTAATTATTCCACCAAATTTTAATTATTCCATCGTTAGATGAGTTTAATTGCCTTTTTTTCGTGGCAATTGATTTTTTTCTTAAAAATAAAATAATAAGAAATAAAATAAGCGAAAAGCGACTATAAATGGTACTTTCTTTGAGCACATTTGGATAGAAAAATACTGCAAAAATCTATCGCTAAAAATTACCTAAAACGTTGTATTGTAGGTACCATAAAACCATAAAAAATTTGGCCAACATCAATAATATTTCCAATCTAAATCGAATTTTAATTGCATAAGGAATAGAACAAAATAGAAATTTCTATGAATTCCATCATTCACTGAATTTCTAAATCAAAGAATTTCTTTCGCCAATCAAAATCAAATGAATTCAGCACGAAATGTTTATAAATCATTTATAATAAGTCAATTCAAATATAATAATTCAAATACAAATATAATATGGAACGGAGACGGTGGCCGAGCGAGGGGTGCGCGGAGGGAAATTTCGGCATAATTTAGTAAAATTACAAGTTTATTAAAATAAAATTAAAAAGTATTAATAAAAAAAATTTTTTCAATGAAATAAAATTTAAAAAAACAATTAAAACGAAAAAAAATCGTGAGATAAATCAAAAATTTTTTTCATAAAATTATTATTGTTTTAATAATACAAAATTTTTTTTGCAATTGGCATCAACTAAAGAATTGATTTCCCTTAATTCTACCCCCAAGGCACGAAATTCGGCTAATTTTAGCAATTTTAAATTCGATAGTGCAGATAGATTGAAATATTTGATCGAAATAATTTCATCGGTTTGCGCGAAGAAAGTTGCTTTAAGGCAAAGCCACTGCTATA